ATATATTATATATTATATATATATTATATATATATTATATATTATATATTATTTATTTCTATTTGTTATTATTAATTATGTAATAATATTTAATTTTTTTTTTAGGCAGCATATAAGGATTTATCAATGACTGGTGGAATTGGTTTAATTTCAGTTCCTAATTCTTGTTCGATCTTGTATAATGAGAAACGATCTTCATAAGTAATAAGATTGATAGCAAGACCAAGATGGCCGAAACGACCTGATCTACCAATACGATGAAGGTAAGTTTCTGAATGTTTTGGGAAATCGAAATTGATTACAACATTAACATCTTGAATATCGATACCACGAGTGAAAAGATCAGAAGAGACAAGATTACGGCATGCACCATTTCTAAAGTCGTGGAAAACACGATTACGATGAGCTTGGACCATTTTAGCGTGAATAAAGAAGCAACTGTAACCAAGTTCAGTGATTTTTTTAGCCAATAACTCTACACGATTAACAGAGTTACAGAAAATGATGGATTGATTGATTTGAAGTTTGGAGAAGAGGGTGTTGAGACAATGAATTTTTTGACGTTCTTCAACAAAGGCATAGTATTGAGTGACACCTTTAAGAGTGAGTTCTTCCATGAGATTAATTTCAAAAGCTTGTTGAAGATATTGTTCTTTGAATGATTTCACAGTGACTGGGAAAGTGGCAGAGAATAAAAGGATTTGACGTTGTGGTGGAAGGAAATTGATTAATTGTTCGACTAATGGTTGGAATTCTTGTGATAAAAGTTTATCGGCTTCATCCATAATCATAGTTTGACAGTTTGAGAGATTAGCAACATTCTTTTGAGCCAAATCAAGAACTCTTCCTGGGGTGGCAACTAAAATGTGAACTGGGCTGTATAATCTCATAATATCATCCTTTAATGATGTACCACCAGTTGAGGCCATAACTTGAACATTCATGTATTTACCGAGTTCTTTGCAAACTTGAGATGTTTGGAGAGCTAACTCTCTAGTTGGAACTAAGATTAAAACTTGAATAACATCTTTGGTTGGGTCAGTTTTTTCTAATGCTGGAATTAAAAAGGATGCTGTTTTACCGGTACCATTCTTGGCACGGGCCATTATATCTCTACCTGCTAATGCGATTGGAATGGCTTTTTCTTGAATTGGTGAAGGTCTAACATAACCTTTTTCAAAAATACCTCTTAATAAATCTCTTTTTAAATGTAAATCATCAAACTCGTTACCTTCTGTTGCTGTAACATCCTCGGTTTGTCTTCTTTCATCTTTTGGTGGTAATTTTAATTGAGCTTTCCAATTATCGTCGTCAACAATTGAACTTTTGGAAAATAAAATTATTATTAAAAAAAAAAATTAATATAGGTATTTAAAATTTAATTTAAGTTTATTTATAAAATACCACTTACTTTTGTTTTTGGTTACTCATTTTGTTTTATTGTTTTGTTTTTATAATTGTTTTAATTATTTATAGAATTTATTGGGTTTATAGTAATTCACAAAGATATTTTATATTATTTATTGATTATATAAAATTTATATTATATTATTATCTACAAGGTGGTTTTTTTTGGTTTTGATGTATATACTTTTTTTTTAAACTATTAAAAAATATATTGAACTTTACAAGGGTTTATTATAATTATTTATATTATTAGTTTTTGTTTTGAATTTCTGTTAAATAGATAAATTTATATTTATAATAAAAAGAAAATAGTTAGTCATTTAATCGAATTGTACAACAAAAAAAAAAATAAAAATAATAAAAAAAAGGAATAAATAAATTTTTAAAGGTTCAAAAAATAAAAAATAAAAAATACAAAATACAAAAAAAAATACAAAAAAAAAATAAAAAATTAATAAAAAATTTAAAATTTTTTAAAGTTATATGTGTTTTTGTTAAGTGATATGTGTTATGTGTGTATAAACAGGTTATGATCATCAACCATCCATAAAAAAAAAAATTTTAATAAAAAAATTTTTTTTAAAAATAAATTATAAAAAAATAATAATAATAGAGATAGAAAATTGTTTTTGGATATTTAATATAAAAATAAAAAAATAAAAAAAAATGAATTATATAAAATTGATAAATATAGTTTTAAAAATTATTATTATTATTATAGTTATTTCTATATTATAATATTGCTGTTGGTTTTTTTTTTATTTATTTATTTTTTATGGTTTTTATTTATAAATATACTATTTTTATATATTGTTTTTAATTTTTAATTTAAAATATTTTTGAGAAAAAAGTGAAGTTACTATTTTTATATTAATTAACAAATAAAAAACTAAAAACCAAGATACAAACTAGTTTAGAAACAAAATTGAAAAAAAGTTATAAATAAAAAAAGAAAATAAAACATACATTTTTTATATGGTGAAAATTTGAACAATCAAAAAAAAAAAAAAAAAATGAAAAAAAATTTAAAAAAAAAAAATTAAAAAAAAAATTTAAAAAAAAAAATGAAAAAAAATTAAAAAAAAAAATTAAAAAAAAAAAAAATAAAAATAAAAAAATTTAAAAAAAAAAAAAAAAAAAATAAATTGTACGATTTTTATAATTATTAAATAATTTTTTTTCATTGAACGATTAAACGAATATACATATACAGTTATAGTTGTACTTATAAAAGAAAATGACCAATACAACCAATGAAGAAATAAACGATACAAATCAAGATATATATAAAAATAATAGCAGCACAAATATAAATGACGTTTATGTCAGGAAACCAGAGGATGTTGTTTTTAATAATATAAAATATCCATTAGACGACCCACCATTAAAATTTGAAGTTATTGCAAGATTTGGTAAAGCAAGAGCAAGCAAACTTACATTGCCACACCATTGTTGCACCACACCAATGTTTATGCCGGTAGGCACACAAGGAACAGTCAAGGGTTTAACATCACAACAATTGGTTGATTTAAATTGTGGTGTAGTTTTAGGAAATACATATCATTTAGGACACAGACCAGGACCAGAGGTTATGGATGCAGTTGGTGGATTACACAAATTTATGAATTACCCACGTGCAATGTTAACCGATAGTGGTGGTTTTCAAATGGTATCATTATTACAATTAGCAGAGATTACAGAGCAAGGTGTTCAATTTCAATCTCCACATGATGGATCAACTATGATTTTAACACCAGAGTTATCAATGCAAATTCAAAATTCAATTGGTGCCGATATTATGATGGCTTTAGATGATGTTGTTAGCAGTACAACCGTTGGTCCACGTGTTGAAGAGGCTATGTACAGAACTTTACGTTGGATTGACCGTTGTATTCAAGCTCATAAAAAACCAGAATCACAAAATATTTTTGCAATTGTTCAAGGTGGTCTTGATAGCAGACTTCGTACTATTTGTATGGAGGGTTTAATACAAAGAAATTTCCCAGGTTATGCTATTGGTGGTTTAAGTGGTGGTGAATCAAAAGATATGTTTTGGCGTGTAGTTCATCAATGTACATCGCAATTACCAGATAATAAACCACGTTATCTTATGGGTGTAGGTTATGCTTTGGATTTGGTTGTTTGTTCAGCTTTAGGTGTCGATATGTTTGATTGTGTTTTTCCATCAAGAACTGCAAGATTTGGTTCTGCATTGGTTCCATCTGGTTCTCTTAATCTTAAATCATCAGAATATGCTTACGATTTTACTCCAATCGATTCAGAATGTCCTTGTATGGTCTGTAAAAACTATACCAGGGCTTATCTTCATATAGTAGCTGGTAAAGAGGCAATTGGCGGTCAATTAATAACTTATCACAATATTCAATATCAAATGTCATTAATGAATCAAATTCGTGAAGCAATTATAAATCAAAATTTCCCCGAGTTTGTAAAATCATTTATTAAAAAACAATATCCAAACAGCGATTGTCCACAATGGGCTATAGACGCTTTAGCCGCTGTTGATATAACCGATATTTATAAATAAACTTAATAAATTGTAAAAACAAAATAAAAACCAACATTAATAAATAACCAGGGTATTATCTTTTCTTTTGTTGGATTTTTCAATTATTCATTAATATATTTACCCCCACCCCCACCCTAAAAAATAATTAATTTTTTAATTTTTTTAAAAAAGTATATAAAATTTTTTTTTTTTTCAACTTCATTTTATACAAATATTTATATATATATTTATATAATAAAGTTTTATTATAAATGGTAGATTCAGCTTTAATTATTGTTGATGAACAAAATGATTATTTTACAGGTGGCAAGTTTGAATTGGTTCATGCAGAAAGGGCTTTAAATAATACACTCAGGGTATTGGAAAAGTTTAGAGAAGATCAACAAATGGTTATTTTCATTCAACATGCATTCCCAAAAGGAAGTGGCTCATTTTTTGAAGAGGGTAGCGAAGGTTTCAAAATTCATCCTGCTCTTATTCCAGCAAGTGATGAACCAGTTTTAATTAAAAAAGATATTAATAGTTTCCTCAATACTGGCTTAGAATCAATATTAAGAAAAAATAATATCAAAAAATTAGTTATAACTGGTATGATGTCGCATATGTGCGTCGATAGTGCTACTCGTGCTGCCAAAGATTTAGGTTGGTCTGATATTACCGTAATCGAAGATTGTTGTGCTACCAGAGATTTAACTTTTGGTAATAAAACTGTCAAAGCTGAAGATGTCCATGCTGCCTATATGAGTGCTCTTGCATTCGCTTTTGCTAAAGTTATAACAACTGAAGAGTATTTAAAACTATAAAATAAAATAAAATAAAATAAAATATAACCTTTTTTTTTAAAATGGAAACGATTTTTTTTTTAATTTTTTTTAATTTTTTTATTTTTTATTTTTTAATTATAACAACAAAACTATAATAATAATAAACTAATTATTTTTTAAAAAATATTTTTTAAAGCTAGAATTAGCAATATCAACCAAAAAGGTAGTTTCTAATATATTCTAATTTTTCTAATTTATTCTGGGTCTGAATTCTAATTAATTCTAAAAACAGTGAAATTTAAAAAAAATTTTATTTATTTTTAATATTTATTTATTTTTTTTTTTATTTTTTTTTTACCCATTTATTTATTTTAAAAATTGAAAAGATTTTTTTTTTTTTGCTCATTTAATCAAATTTAATATTAACATTAACATCAATACCAAAAAAAAAAAATAAGAATGGAAACTGCTTTAATTATTGTTGACGAACAAAATGATTATTTTACTGGTGGTAAATTTCAATTAGTAAATTCTGAAAAAGCTATGGAAAATACCAAAAGAGTTTTAGACAAATTCAGAGAAAACAAACAATTAGTTGCCCATATACAACATATTTTCCCACAAGGTGGTCCATTTTTTGTTGAAGGTACTCCTGGATCAGAAATTCACAAAGTTGTTGCACCACAATCCAATGAAAAAGTATTCACTAAATCTGCCATTAATTCATTCATTGGTACTGGCTTAGAACAACATTTAAGAGATAATAAAATCACCAAAGTAGTTATCACTGGTATGATGACTCACATGTGTATCGATAGTGCCACTCGTGCTGCTAAAGATTTAGGATTCGACGTAACTGTCATCGAAGACTGTTGTGCCACCAGAGATTTAACTTTTGGTAATAAAACTGTCAAAGCTGAAGATGTCCATGCTTCCTATATGAGTGCTCTTGCATTCGCTTTTGCTAAAGTTATAACAACTGAAGAGTATTTAAAACTATAAAATAAAATAAAATATAACCTTTTTTTATTATAACAATAAAACTAAAAATAAATATTATAAATTATTATTTATTTTTAACTAAAAGAGATAATTTATAAAGTTATAATAAAAAGAGATAAAATATTAAGTTATTATAAATTATCTATTTTTTTTCAAAAAAAATATCTCTTTTTTTAATTTAAAAAAACTCTCAAAATTAAACTTTCAAAAAAAAAAAAATAATGCCCAAAAAATTAAAAAAAAAAAAAAAATTTTAAAGATTTTATAATTAATTTTAAAGATAATAAAATGATATTAATACCATTATTTTATTTATTTTATTTATATTTTGTAAAGAGTGTTTCCAGCTCTACCACGGGAAGGTTAGTATTAGAGCCAAGGGTTAATTATTTATACCTTCAAGCAGTATAAATAATTAAACACCAAATTTAAAATTTGTGATTAATTATATATACAACCACGCATAATACATAATTAACCTCCATATTGAAAATTAGGTAAATTTCAAAAACATAGATATCAAGTGGGCCCAAATCAGTATCTATGTAATCAAAATACCTATTTGGAGTTGATTTTATTATCCATAGTACTTGAAATTTTGAGTGTTATATAATATTTGATATTTTTTAAAGATCCATAATATTTGATATATTTTTAATTCTAAATAATAATTGATATTTTCATTAAATAATCCTTGATATGTTTTAATGCTACATAATCCTTGATATATTTTAATGATTCATTATAGTTTATATTTTATGCTATTTAATACTTGATATTTTTAATTATCAATAATATTTGATATATTATGAGTGTTATACAATAATTGATATATTTTAAATGATCCAATAAAAACTTATCCTATAATAATTATACAATAAATCTTGATATTATTGAATGATCCAATCCTCTTGAATATTCTTGAATGTGTATAATGAAAATAAATTTTATAAAATTATGGTATAAAATAAAAAAAAAGAATTATAGTTGAATTTTAATAATTAAATGCTAAAAATCCTTGATATGTTTTGATAGTATATATATATTAATCCTCGATATGATTTAATGCTAAGACTTTATATGTTTATATGATAAATAATACTTGATATGTTTAAATGATAAATAAAACTTGATATATTTAAAAGCTAAATAAGACTTTATATGTTTAAATGATAAATAATTCTTGATATGTTTAAAAGCTAAATTAGACTTTATATGTTTAAATGATAAATATTACTTTATGTTTTTTAATTCTAAAAAATACTTGATATTTTTTAATGATAAATAAAACTTGATATGTTTAAATGCTAAATAAATATATGATATTTTAAATGCTAAATATTACTTGATATATTTTAAATGGTAAATAATAATTGATATTTTGGTATGATCAATATTATTTGATATTTTTGATCCAATAAAAATCCTCGATAGTTTTAATGCTTAAAAATCTTTTATATGTCTTTATGATAAAAAATGCTCGATAACTTTAATGCTAAAAAATCTTTTATATGTCTTTATGCTAAAAAATCCTCGATAGCTTTGATTGCTAAAAAATCCTCGAGAGATTTAAATCTATGGTAAAAAATCTTTATTTGTCTTTATAATGATATAAAATTATGGTATCAAAATAAAAAAAAAAAAAACTATAGTTGAATTATAATAATTAAATGCAAAAAAATCCTCGATTTGCTTTAATGCTAAAAAATCCTTTATGTGTTTTAATGCTAAAAATCCTCGATATGTTTTAATGCTAAAAAATCCTCGATATGTTTTGATAATGTTTTTATACTATTGGCCACTCTTTGTAAAGAGTGTTTCCAGCTCTACCACGGGGAGGTTAGTATATTAGAGCCGATGGTTAATTATGTATCCCACCACGCAGAATACATAATTAACCACCATATTGATAATAGAGTGAAGTGAAGTGTAGTGTGAAATGTTTATATATATTGTGTAGTGTGTGAAATGTTTATATATTTGTGGTTAATTATGTATCCCACCACGCAGAATACATAATTAACCACCATATTGATAATAGAGTGAAGTGATTTGTAGTGTGTGAAATGTTTATATATGTTTGTGTAGTGTGTGAAATGTTTATATATTTGTGTAGTGTGTGAAATGTTAATATATTTGTGGTTAATTATGTATCCCACCACGCAGAATACATAATTAACCACTATATTGATAATAGAATGAAATGAAATGTAATGGGTGAATAATTAAAATAACAAATAAATGTAGTGGGTAAATAAAAAAACAACAAATAAATGTAATTGAAATTTGACTTGACAAAGCTACTTATTTACTTGATGTTTTGCATGATCCATAATACTTATAATCATTACATTCAATAAAAAACAATTAGTTGATCGAAAACTTGATTGAATATTACACAATATTTGATATTTTTAAATAATACATAATTCATGATATTTTTCAATGCTAATAAAACTTGATATGTTTAAATGATAAATAATACTTGATATTTTAAATGCTAAATATTACTTGATATGTTTATGAGAAAAATAATACTTGATATATGTGAATATATTAGAGCCGAATGGTTAATTATGTATCCCACCACGTAGAATACATAATTAACCACCATATTGATAATAGAATGAAATGAAATGTAATGGGCGAATAATTAAAACAACAAATAAATGTAGTGGGTGAGTGAATATTAGAGCTAAATGGTTAATTATGTATCCCACCACGCAGAATACATAACTAACCACCATATTGATAATAGAATGTAATGTAATGGGTGAATAATTAAAATAACAAATAAATGTAGTGGGTGAATATATTAGAGCCGAATGGTTAATTATGTATCCCACCACGCAGAATACATAACTAACCACCATATTGATAATAGAATGTAATGGAAATTTGACTTGACAAAGCTAAAATTTTTTTAAAGCACTTGTTTCTTTTTGATGTTGCTAAATAGTTCTTGATATATTTGGATGTTACACAATAGTTGATATGTTTATTTTTATTTTTATCTATATTTATATTCTATTTCTTTCAAATTTGATTTCTATACTTGATATTTTTGTGATCCATATTACTTAATATTTTTTAAATGCTATATAATATTTGATATTTTTTATGACCATAATACTTTTTATTTTATAAATGCTATATATTTGATACTTTTGCATGATCCATATTACTTGATATTTTGTATGAACCATATTACTTTTTATTTTATCAATAATACTTACCAATAATCATTACATTCAATAAAAAAACAAAAGATAATTGATTGAAAACTTAATTGAATGATAAATAATATTTGATATTTTTTAATGATAAATAATACTTGATATTTTTAAATGATAAATAATACATGATATTTTTAAAAGATAAATAATACTTTGATATGTTTAAATGTTTGATATTTTTTAAATGCTTAATAATACTCGATATTTTTTAAATGCTTAATAATTCTTGAAATTTTTTAATGATAAATAATACTTTGATATTTTTAAATGATAAATAATACTTGATATATTTAAATGCTAAATAAGACTTTATATGTTTATATGATAAATAATACTTGATATTTTAAATGCTAAATATTATTTGATATTTTTTAATTCTAAATAATACTTGATATTTTTTAATGATAAATAAAACTTGATATGTTTAAATGCTAAATAATACTTGAAAATTTTAAATGATCCATAATATATGATATTTTTAATGATAAATAAAATTTGATATGTTTAAATGCTAAATAAATATTTAAATGCTAAATATTACTTGATATTTTAAATGGTAAATAATACTTGATATTTTTGTATGATCCATGTTATTTGATATTTTTTAAATGCTAAATAATACTGGATATTTGTTTGATCCATACTACTTGATATTTTTTATGTTAAATAATAGTTTTGATATCTGTATGATCCAAAATACTTAATCAATTTTTTATTTATTTATATTATTTTTTTTTTTTTTTTTTTTTCTTTTAATTTTATTTTAAATGAGATATAAATATTTATTAATTTTTAAATAATTTTTTTGAAATTATTTTTTTTTCTTTTTTTTTATATTTTTTAATAAAATTTTATTTCTTTATGATAAAAAATCCTCGATAGTTTTAATGCTTAAAAATCTTTTATATATCTTTATGATAAAAAATCCTCGATAGCTTTATTGCTAAAAAATCTTTTATATGCCAAAAAATCCTCGATAGCTTTAATGCTAAAAAAATCTTTTATATATTTAAATGCTAAAAAATCCTCGATAGTT